CACAGATCCTTCCAAAGTACTGAGCCCAAAGCAACTGCCTAACTTGCTTCATCCTAAGGCCAGCTCTGATGATGGGAATACTATGATGTTTGAGGAAGAGCAAAACTGTTGAATGTTATGAGCTCTGATTATACAAAATACAATGTTTCCATTAAAATATCTCGTATTATTTAGTTGAAATATAAGCTCTCTTGCAAACTCTTTGAAAATGTGCTGTTGTAAACAAATTTGCAATATAAAAAAAAAACACGATTATTGATAAATATCTATTATGCAATAGTCATTTTTTAAAACCATCTTTGCTGGCAAATGGTTTGCCAGATAGATCACTTTTGCAATTGCAAAACTTGAAGTGTTACCTGTGAGTAATAGAAACAAGTAAATAATGTTTTAAAAATTAGTAATAAAATAATTTTACAATGAATATCAGATGGTGTCCATGTTTTTGGTTATATTACACAATAAAATTAAACAGATTAATTTTCATTAATACACTAAAACACACAAATGATGAAAAAAAAACTATTACATAACTATAAGCCTAACAACATTTCAGTATTATATCCATTTGTCATAAGTTAAAATTCTGTTAATTAAAGTTATCATATCGAAAACAACATATTCCCAAAAAATTTTGTTAAAAAAGTAGGACAGTAATATTTTTATATTGAATTCCAAATTTGTTGGTTTCTGTAAATTAATGTACCAGAACAAGTGTTGTAGAAATACTATTTTATTGTGTAGCTTTTCAAACTCTGAAGTAAATAATGTTATGAACAGTACAAAAATACAGAAAAAGCAATTCCAGTACCCCCCCCCCAAAAAAAAAGTGGAAATGTTTGGTATCTAGAGAGTCTAAATAATAATTTTTAAAGAAAATAATTAGGATGTAGGCAAATTTTGAAATTACCCAGTCTCTTGTCATATTTGCTTCACTTTTTTCTCTCAAAAGCTGTGACAAGTCATATTCTCACAATAAAAGAAACCATTAAAGAACATCATAAGGAAAACTTGAATCAGATTTTGCACATTTGTCAAATACATACACTTTCTGTAGCTTAGACGCCAATGTTGTTGACTTTTGGCTGCTTGTAGCTGTTGAGCCTGGTGAATGTGCATCAAAGCATCAGTTCCTGCAATGCTTTGCTCACGGTCACGAGTTTCACCAATATCCGATATCATGCTACTTGTACTAATACGCCTAGTGTAATCATAGTCAGGATAAAGCATGCCTAAGTCAGCCTGTCCATCTGTCTGCATTCCAGATAAGACTTCCAGGGATCTGAGAAGAAAGAGAAACAGTAATTTTAAGACTTGACATAAATATATGAAGAAACTTACATTCACTAGATTTGCATATATTATATTCCAGATAGTTCAGTGTCTCTGGGTAAGTATTCAAGTCCAGTGAATAATGGTATGTAATTAATTTTTCCAACAATAGTAATACTCGCTTTACTTAGTTGGTATTTTTTCCCAAACATGTCTTGAGAAATAAATCAACTAACATTTCCATAAAACCTAACAATATTTTGATAATTAAGTATATAAAAATTTACATAAAATATTATGAATGCACACAAACAAATAAAAGTTTTGGTTTATATTAAACAAAAGCAACTAGATTTCTAATAGATAATCAAAAACCTTTATTTTCAGCATGAAACAACTTGGATAGAAGAAAACATTTGAGCCTTTTACCCTGAAGAATCCAAAAGCGATGATCCAAGGGCACTCAACTGGAATTCTGGACTGTAATGAACCTTTTTGAGTGCTTCCAGGACAGTAACAGCATCAGTGAACACCCGGTATGTGAGAAGAAATGTATTTAGAAAATCTATGCTCAAAAACCGCAAGTCAGTCAACCTTTCAAATAACCGTTCGGGACTAGCATAACGTATCTATAAGGACAAATATTGTATTTCAGATAAAGGTGTCATTATGTTAACAGCCCAAAAGTTATATTTATTGTGTTTGTCATTATAAGAAACAATACGTATCAAAGAAATTGCAGATCTGTACTACTGGAATAACTCCTGGTTTGTATTAAATTTAACTTTAAAGTGGTATCTTAGTACATGAACTAGTTCTATTATAAATGAAGAAATGAAATGATCTGAATCTGGTATTTCAAATGCTTACAAGATAAAATTAGCAACACTAGAAGCAGAGATTCAATAATAAAAGCAATGTTTATTACTTATGTAAAATTAAATGCCGTTGAGAAGAATAACTACTGAATTGTAGCATAAAAGTTGAAATATTATAAAATAATTCAAAATCAATTATAGATGTGATTATATACAAACCTGAGGAACTTTGCAGGAGTTAAGTGTGCGACTAAATCGGATATCCACGTCATCTTTGTAAAGCCTTGGATCGTTCCTATTAATTAACACAGGGTCTCAAATAAATATATTTTGTAACTCTTATGCATTTAACTATATTGATGGGAAATACACTGTTAACTTTTGCATTTTATATAACAAGCACAGTAATGTCAAGTGTTTATATGAAAAATAGAAACAATACAATGGCTAAAAACAAAAGCACCTAGAAATCAGTTTCATTCAACAATAGTTTAAAGGATACAGAAATGACCTTAACTGTTTCTTAAAACTTTTGGATTCAAACTTCTATTTAAAACCCACTCCAACCTTTCTTGAAGCAGAACTTAAAACTGTTAAATTACAATAAATGCATCTGAAACAAATAGTAAAGAGCAAACAATATGCTTTTATTAACAGCTTTAGATTAACTTCACAGGAAACAAGTATCTGGGTTCTATATGAAAGCAGAACAAAAAAGATACAATATATAATAAAAATGTGAAATTATTAGTAAAAAAACAACTTTATTTAAACTTATTACTTTTCAACTATTTTTATAAATACAGCAAAACTATTCAAATCACCTTTGAAAAATTAGTTTTAAGTAAATTAGCAATATTGAATAAGTAACCAGTAATTTTGTCACATTAATGGCAGTAAGTTAGCTATAATATTACTTTATTTTCTAAATAGGCCCATTCTTTATATTTCAAATAAAATTTTGTCACATTGAGTATGCTCTCAAAAAATATGAAAACGTGTCCATATGTCCATCATTATCAATGGAAATGGACCATTTTTGGAAGGACAGTGAGGAATAGTATTCTACATAGGTCTACCAAGTTTCATAAAAATCTGATAATTTTTGACTGAGTTACAGAGCAAATATAGCATGAAAAATAGGTCCCTATCTTAACTTGCGTTTTATTTTCATGACCTTGACCTTCCAAAACCTAATCACTTCTAAATTGGGTCATAGTCCAAATGTACATCAACTTTCGTCCAAATCCATTCAGCTGTTTTTGAGAAATCTTGCTGACAAACAAACACATATACACACACAGGAGTTAAGACATAACCTCTGTCACCTTCTGTGGCAGATGTAATAATGACCTCAATCTGAATAAATTAGGCTATGAAGATACCATTACTTGACTGAAGTATAGTGTATGTTTTTCAAATTATATTTCATCAGTAAAAGGCACAATTGCAGACAGTATAGTCTCGTTCACTAAAATCAAGTACTGTACCAGTTACTTCTGAGTAAAATCTATGACAACTTCTAAATCAATAACAAAAATATTTTGGAAATAAAATAAATTAACCTTTATTTGATTAAAAGTTCCCTGTTTGAAATTTTGTAAGGTTAACTAAAAGTTCAGCTAAAACAAGCATGTTTCAAAGAAGTAGAATGTTTTACCTGACTGAGTGAGGCATTGTTACAGATGAAAAGTCACTCATGGTTCCATGGAAAAGGTCATTGAAGTGTACATTGTCTATGCACTATTAGGAAATGAAGAAAAAAACTCGTAAACATATTTTGTATCATTATCTAGTATGAAAAAAATAGAATAATTTTATATTTGCAATAAATTATTTAGATAAACAAATTTTTCTTAGAAAGAAAATATTTTTAGAATATTTCAGTGTTCTAATTTCACCTAAATAATGATTTTGAATTGAAATTTTCAACCTGAATAGCACCTTAAGCTCCTGTGGGCTAAACAATCAGAACAAAGACCTCTCAGATTCAGGTATAGCTATACTTAAGTTTGAACCACTAATAAAAGAGAAGGCAGCTACTTAGCAGTATCTGCAACCATAAGCATTTTGTCTGGCTCTTTGAGAAAATTACAGAACTGATTGTTAATTCTGTAGCATGTACATAGATGAAAGTGTATAACACATTCAGCAGCATTACGTCTTAAGCTCCGGATCCTTCATAAATGCCATGCCCAATCCATAAACTTATTATTCTTTTGTTAAATGGGACAGCTTGGCTCAGTGGCTTCACACTTTGGAATCGTAGTCAGATGGTTGAGAGTTCAAGGCTGGCTCATGTCACGCGGTTGTGTCCCTGAACAAGACACTTTACCCTCTTTTTCCAACCTCCCCAACTGTATGATGGGTACCAGATGTGAGCTGGGGGTTAACCCATGATGTACTGGCAACCTGTTCCAGGGAGAAATAGGTCACCTATCTCTTCTGCTTGTGCTACTTGAAAACAGAGTTTGAAAGTATGGGCTATATGTGCAAACAAAAGCAAAGCAAGGATTTAACTTTAACTCATGTTGAATACATGCTATTAAACATGTCCATTTATGGCCTCCTATTTTTATAAAGAATATATTTATGCATTGAAAAAAGTCACTAGTGTTCGCTATGAAACTTAATCTTTTCAAAGGATATATATATCCTTTGAAAAGATTAAGTTTCATAGCAAACACTATATACACACACACACACACTCACATATATACAAATCTTAATTCAACTGATCGTATTAGTTAAAATTATTAATAAACTGCTCAGGAGTGGCTTGTTATTTAAACTTCACAAACATGGATGCCCACAGGAAGGGGAAAGAGGGAGCATTTGCCTCCCCCCTTACATTTCACAAAAAATTTCATGTATTATGTAAACTTCACATTGTAGTCAAATCATTTTTAGTAATTTTTATTAAAACTGTAAATTTTTGTCTGCATTTAAGCACACATAACATGTTTTCTTTTAGTTTGTTGACTTACACTGTAAAAGCTGATCCCATACATACATACATACATAATTTACCCCCCTCTGAAAATATTTCTGTGAGTACCCATGTTCACAAAGAAATTCTTATAAATAGAATAGACACAAACATAAGATGTCACTGCAAGCTTTTTAAAATAAAAATTTCTTTTTATAAAGAGATAACTCCTTTTACAATCATATTTTGAAATGTTTTTCCTTACTGATATGTAATGATTGATTTAGGCTTTGTAGCATTGCAATTCTTTTTCAGTTCCTCTTCTATAAAAACAAGTACAATAACAAAGTCTCATCTCATACATAAAGTTTTTAAACCTAAAACCATTCTGGTTGCTTATATCTACAGATTATAACAAAGAGACTCAAACTTAACATAGTAATCTATGTGAAACTTGAACAGGGTGACTCTTAAAATCATAAAGTATCACTAGTTCCCCTACTTTTCGGTAAAGTGTACTTTACTTTCACAGATGGAGATGATGGTGTTTTCTGAAATCACTCACTCATACATATGCATACCTTGTTGATATGTTCAGTTTATTAATAAATTGATAATTATATTGGTTACAGTTAATACAACAATCACTCAAGCAACTAGCTAGCCATTAATATAAAGGATAGCACCAAACAATACAAGAAGTGGACCTAAACAAGCCTGGTGATAGATGTCACAAGGCCCCCAACTATAGCCCAAGCACACACCAGGTTATACAACCAGCACAAAAATACCAATTTCCTAATGTTCCTATGTTACTCTCATGACTAAAGCTGGGAACTTTGTGGAGTTTGCTAAATGGTGAATCACCAGGCTATATTAATTGATCACATTCAACTAACTGGTTATTATCACGAGATGGCAACAAAAATGTAACAATAAAAGTTGGGTTTCAATGTCTACGATAGGCAAAGTACAGATAGCCAATTGTGTAGCTTTGCACTGAAGAACAAGCATAATAGCAACATTTTGATTACTTTGATAGTTCAACTAATCAAAAACATTAATAATAAGAAACATAATTTTGATTAGTTGATTATTTTCTTAAGTTGTGATACTAATTGACTGAGCTGAGTGAACTTGAATTAACTGAAAATAATAATGGCAATATTTCAATTACTGGATAGTTGGTATAATCACAAACACTAATTTTAATTAGTTGATTATTTTCATGACGTTAATCAATTTAAAAACAGTTTCAGTTAATGAGCTATTAAAATAATCAAACTCTCCTTTTAATAATCTGATTATTTTTGTGAGATTAACAATACTTTTGATTACTGGATAGTTAGAATAATCAAAAACATCTTCCTGACATTAATCAATTTACTTGTAAGTTTGATCAATCAATTATATCGACTGAGCAAATCGATCAGCTCTACTAATGACCCATAAATAGCTAAACCCACAACGAAAACTATGAAAATGTGTAAATGTCTGAATAATATCACATTATCAGAAAAAAAATGGTTTTAATATATGAGCTCTAAGGAAACACAAAAGGTATTATTTCACAAGCATTACCATCAATGCAGTATAAGCCTAATCCTTTATATTGATAGCATTAAATATCAAATGCAATATAATTTCACATGAGCTATGTGGTATAGCAGTGAACATTTTACATGCCTTAACTTGGAAAATATCAACATTTTCAATTATAATGTTGACCGTTCATTGTAAAAACGCCTCTGAAAATTCAGTTAAGTATTTACTTGGTGTATACAAGATTAGTGTACAAGTATAAAAAAAAGAAGAGTGTTAGGCCTAATTTCCATTTGCTAATAAATGTAGAGTATTTCATGTATACATGCACATCTGTGTAGTCTTATGTGAAGCCTTTATTCAGAGGGATTTCAAAATATCTATAAATACAAAATCTTATAAATAAATAAGACCCAACAGGTGCCATTCAGCAAAATGAAATAATAGATCAACTACAAAAAACTGAACTTACACATCTTAAAAAAAATATATACCAAACCTTTCTGTCTATACATTTACTTATCAAAATACAAAATTGTATTTTTGTAGTCAAAATAAAAAATAAAAAACTACTGTAGGCTTTTCTGTTTACATAGTTTGACTCATTATGCATAAAATATGCCTGCTTATCACTCTTCTCCAGAATTAAATATGCCAAATGTTTTGCTTTATACTAAATATTAAGCACCATGGCCACATGATGTTTTCCAGAAAATATCCAATTTTCAGTACCCTCAATCTTTGCCCAGCAATGACAATGAAAAAATAATAATAAAAAAAATAGTAGTACAAATATTATTTTCCTTAATGGTATGAATGTGAAGAAGGAATTTGAGTTCAGTGTGCACAATTTTGCAAAGTTTAATTGATAAAAATGCAAAACCTGCTATCAAAATTACTAGTATTTTGTCATTATTTACGGCTAAAAAAAAAAAAACTCCAAAAACTGATGACCACTAAGTGCCGTAGCAAATATTGAACATTTGCAATGTGAACACCTAGCAACCACAGCCAGAGGATTCTTGACTTACCTCTCACAAATTTTGATACATACTAGTCTTAGCACCAGCAGCATGAAGCAATGAATTCAATGTGTCTACTTAGCTGAGACATTTACCTACTTCTTTGTATTTGTAAATAAAATTTCATTCTTAAAAACATGCCACATCATTAGTGAATGAGAAAGAACATTGATTAATAAAAAAAAAAATACCCTACTCTCCCTCTTCTGGTCACTCCCATTCCCAGGATTCATTTTATATAGCTCAGCTTAGGATGAGGGCATAATCCAATGTATTTGTTATTTCCAGATCTTTCTCATGCATTGCCATCCTTAAACGTAACACACTTTCCAACCCCATGTAATATACTCTATAATTTGTGTTATATTAGCAATAACCCAATCTGTATATTACCTCCTTGTACAAGATACTTGCCTTTAACAGTTTGCTTAAACAATAATTACAGTGTAAGTTTATTGTGTTGATGTAGCACACAAATACTTGAAATCTAACCAGAAATGCTTGAATAAAAAATAAATGAACTTGACATTATTCACATTGCAAAGTGAGTAAAATCAAGTTATTTTATTTTGCTGTGTTTACGAGATATCACCTAGTGTTTACCCCAAACTAGAATTTTAGCTTTTTTTTTTACACTTTTTGCCCAAAATTTTTTTAATAGACTATGTTTTCTGCCTTATTTAATTTTCATGAGTGTGGGATCCTCAAAAACTAACATAAAATTCTGTAATTATAAAGTTAATGTGAAGTTCCTTAAATGTAAACTAAGTTTCTCATTAAAACATGTAATGAATTCATAATTTCTAATAAGAAAATATACTATAACTGAGTAAATCAACCCTCATGATTATTACATACAAGTAAGAAAACCAATAATAACAAACTGGTTTAGCTTAAAATATTTTAAGTATTCAATTTGAAAAAAACCTCAAAATAAAAAGAAAATCATACAATGTTTCCAACTGCCATACTAATACATAACATTCGTTAGACAAAAATTTTGGTTGGACAACGATTCTGAAGATGTAGTATATTCTTTAATTGTATGTTAACGTATATTTCATAATTGTGAGACACCAAGGTACTATGCACGGCACATAAACTTTTAACTGTTCTATTACTATTCACCTAATATATTGTCAGCACAAATCAAAAGCTGGAAGAATTAGATAAAAATACTCTCCTATAACTAAACAGATTTTATATCGAGCTTAATAACTATGATTTCATGTAAAAAGTAAGTTTTAATGCTCTTCTGAGATTTAATGGTTGAATATCCTTCATGACTCACTGGGTATTCAAAAAGTAGCAAACTGTCAAATAACATGAGCAAGATAAACAACCAAATAAAAACAACCGGTATAAATTTCTCATCACTAAATTCTAAGAAAACAATACCTTTGTACAATTGTACACATAAAAATAAATTCATATATGTATAAAAGAAAAGGTTTATTGAAGAACATAAGAAATAATAACTAGTATAAAGTACCTGTACTTTGAGAGAAAGTCGCAATGATTTTTTCCTGAAAGAAGACATTTAAGCTCAGCACATCAAAATTTGCTATCAATAAGAAACACCTTTTAATATGGCCAAACTATAAACATAATTATTAAACACTAACAGTAACGTATCAACAGTACCTACTTGTAAACAATTACATTTGTAAACAGAGTAAAACAATAAAATATTACATAGGTATGCACAGTACAAATTGTAAGAAAATATTTTAGTTTTCTTTCTTAGTTAAATCCCTTGTTAAAAATTACAATCCTATCTATTGGTTCCGTGAATATTGATATGAAAACAATATTGATTCTGTGTGTTCTTGATAAGCTGAATCACATTCACTCCATTGTGTCATATCCTATAGCATATCAGGTAGGTCAAATGAAAAAATAAATCAATAAGGAGCCATCCTGTGATGCTAAGTGAACAATATACACATATAAAACATGAAGGCATCTTTTCTGTGATGCTAAGTGAACAATATATACATATAAATATGAAGGCATCCCTTCTGTACCACTAAGTAAACAATATATACATATAAACATGAAGGCATCCCTTCTGTACCACTAAGTAAACAATATATACACATAAACATGAAGGCATCCCTTCTGTACATCCCTTCTGTACCACTAAGTAAACAAAATATACATATAAAACATGAAGGCATCCCTTCTGTACCACTAAGTAAACAAAATATACATATAAAACATGAAGGCATCCCTTCTGTGTTGCTAAGTGGACAATATATACATAGAAATATGAAGACATCCCTTTTGTGATGCTAAGTAAACAATATATACATACAAACCTGAAGGCATCTCTTCTGTGATGCTAAATAAACAATATATACATAGAAACATGAAGGCATCCCTTCTGTGATGCTAAATAAACATATATACATAGAAACATGAAGGCATCCCTTCTGTGATGCTAAATAAACAATATATACATAGAAACATGAAGGCATCCCTTCTGTGATGCTAAATAAACAATATATACATAGAAACATGAAGGCATCCCTTCTGTACCACTAAGTAAACAAAATATACATATAAAGCTTAGGGGGAAAAAATCATAAAATCAAAGTTATGACTGTAATCAATATAAAAATTGTTGAAAAATTCAGAGAGGGGGGGAGTTAACCACCTGCCTTTAACCACATATATCCAGCTATAGAAACACACAAACAAATTCAATGTGTACCCAAACACACTATGAATATAAATACATAAAGAATAATTTAACACAAGAATAAACAACACACTCTAAACAATAGATGTATGACACATTCTTTCACAAGTTAAATGCAGGATTTTCTTCTCTCTATATGTCATTATCATAAAAGGAATGCTTTTATACGTAACTTTTAACAGTATGTACTTAATAAATCATATTTTGTACTATTTTAATGGCTTTACTCACCTAAGGGTAACTTAGCATGAAAAAATGAAGCTATGGTCACAGTAGCTCTTAATAACCTACTAGGTTTAAAACCTCCAGTTAATGTTGCTCACCCAAAGAGGTACCACAAGTTAAAAAAAATGATAACTATGTTATCACTTGTTACACACAAATAAAGACAGCTACAATAATATTACCATAAATGTTCTCATAAAACTTTTAACTATTAAAGAAACTTCTAAAACATTATCAAGTAACAGTAGCCTCATTATAAAAATTATATTTATAATATTAATAATAGTAGCAAACCTTATCATCTTTATTATTTGTTAGTCCCAAATATAATAAAATTGGAAGACTATCTGAAAATATTTACTAAATGAAATCAAATCCTACATATCAAATAACCTTGTGTGTCCATATGGAACTATTACTGAGAAAAAAGCCACAAAGCAACTAAACCATTCATTTCCTCTGCATATGCTATAGACTCAAGAGTCACGTCAAATAACTTAAGTCTTCAGACTTGTACAGTTGTAGTCATTCTTAATAAGGCGGACTCGGCATTCACTCAAAGAATCGCTTTTAACTATTCAACATGGTAAAGATTATAAGTACTCAGGATTCACAATAAATAATTTTAACGATCAGATAACACAAATTGAATCTAACTTAAGACTACAAGAATGTGTAACTCAGATCTCTGGCTGGCGTAAGTCGCTTCTGATGTAGCCTAACCTACATTACGCAGGTGCTGAGCAATAAAAGCGAACCTAATATAAAAACAATATAATTCGTTTTCGATACACTCAATTTAAGAAAATAATTTATTTAACACTTTATCAAATACCTGACTAATATCGCTCGTCCATGCTGCTTTTTCTTGCATCGTAGGAGCCACCAAGTAAACTGTTACAGGTGGTCCATTTTTGGAGTCAATGACAATCTTCAAGTCCAAACCACCATAATCTTTCTGTCCAGTAGCGCCACCAGCGGTCGCTTGTGAAATCTCACTGAACCCGCTCGATTGACTTGAAGCAGAACTCGAAGACCCGTCTGAATCAAGAGCAAAGCTGTAATCACTCATAATTCTATGCCAAACAAGTTGAAATTGGGTTTTAACTCTTTGTACAATTAGTTCAGTCATAAACTAAACCCATTCAAATGCTAAAAATATCTTATGTACTTTGAAGTATCACTTAGAGATTTAAACTGTTTCTAAAAGAAATGCAAATCGGATTTAGCTAAGTTTGACAGAATTGTACAAAGTAAAACCGATATTATGTACAACCAAAATAATTAGCGAACAAACTTTTTAAAGCATAATTTAAGAGTCTGAAATTATGCATGCTTCAGTCCATATCACTATATTGGTAATATCTAAAGTTCAAATGAAAATATACTCTGTTGAATAAAATGAGTAAGTAAACCAGCCAAAACAAAGCAAAAATAACACCAAACAACGTATTATTTCTTCATATTAAAGTTTAAATTGAAAAATTTCAAGGTTTTTTTATATACGAAGCTCTTACAAAAATATATTACTTTTTTTTCATCCAGTTCTTTGATATTTCGATCACATTACATTGTTGGTTAATTTGACACAAAAAACATGTAATACAGGGATTTTTAGAATACATCTTATACTACAAACATGAGTTTCAATACATAATTGCAGTTTCTCACGATAGGTCGAGTTGTTAGTTTACAGGACTGTGGCTCTGGGTTTCGTAGTTCCATCCTGCCCCCCCCCCCCACAAAAAATGCATTCCACACGTTGGGTTCGTGGGTGCGTTATAAGATTGAGGGTCAGATCTTATTATATGGTCTAACGAGAGTAGCCTAAGACTCGGCGGTGGGTTCTGTTGACCAGCTGCCTTTCGTCTAGTCTAACACTTCAAAATTAAGGACAGTCGGCATATATAACTCTTGAGTAGCTTTAAGCGAAATTCAAAAAGCAAATCAACATAGAATAATACATTATACATAGGGTTGATTACATTATATTAAAGCGATTTTGGATATGCAAATCAGCAAGTCACGTAGCAACCACAGCTGATAAAGTCGCGGTGGAAAGGCGTGTCCTCTTGGTGTTCATAGTGATTATAAATAAAGTTTCGCAGTTAATCATGTCGTATCTGACAAACGGTATGGCATAGGAAGGTGAAATTACGTACTGGTGTTAATTCTATCTTGCGGATGCAAATGTAAAAATTGTCACATGTAGCCACCAGGAGCATTATCGTGGTTTCTTTCGCACACTTCCCAGAAATATAGTGGTATAGATAGGCCTATCGATCGCAGAGCAGCTAATTCAACCAACATGAAACTAACAAGGCAGCAGAGAAATGAACTGGTGAAATGTTATTACACCAAAAGATGCAATGCTGAGGCAGCTCTCGGGGAAGTACCCTAGAGTGCATAACATCCTCAGAGGGCCTTCTTCCAATGTTGCTGTGCACAAGCTCATAATATATATATATATATATATATACACACACACACGAATAAACCGGTTACACTTGTGATATGCTACGTACAGGCAGACCATCGACACCTACCGAGCCTATGTATTTTTTATGTCAGCCATGCCGTAGCAGAACAAGCCAACGCATGGGTGCAACACATGTACGTTATGTCGCCCAATGTCTGGATTTCAATTGTTCTTAAAGCTCTTCGACCAACTTTGTGAATATGGCCTCACAAGCTGTATTCTATTCATGCACTGAAACAGACAGATTTAATTAACCCAACGTCTTGATTTTGCAATGCAGTTCTTGGCAAGACTAGAAGTCAATGACCAATGACCTGCGAATACCTTACGAACTGATGAAGCTCACTTTACACGCGTAACTGCATTAACTAGTCAAAAACAATCCATATGTAACATTTCCTATACATCTCCATGATTCTAAGGTGACAATATGGTACGGTTTTGCACTTGACTTTGTTATCGGACCAAATGTCAGAAATTCGCGTCCTTTAGCCGGTCCTGACCAGCTAGAAGGCCAGTGAGTCAAATAGAATAGGAAATAATCATAATGTAATCAGGGAAATTAGGATTGTAAGCATTTTTCACATTTTACCATGTCATCAAACGTGCATTTCTGTACTTGTTTATTTCTAAACCCATAGTTGTGTTTTCGTCTCGTGAAAGTGGCTTGTTATTGAACATTATGGGATTGGGCCAAACAAAGTGAGACGAATGTTAGCATCTCAAAGAATAACTAACTTACCTTTTATTAAAATAATAATCTCGAGTCACATTATTTTGTTGTATTTATCTGGATTAGTATAAAGATTATGAACATTCCAAGAGTGGTATAATCCAAAAACTATTGTTTTCAATTATAGAGTTTTGTTTAATGTTACACATATATGAACATGCATATTTACAATTGTGTCTTTCTTTACAAATCTCACATCTGCGGTTGATAAAATGGAATTAACGTATATATATATATAAATGTTCTTGGAGTCAATCATTTAAACTTAATAAGGGCCTGTTAGAATCCTTGGAGAACAAGTAATAATTTTTGTGAAGGTCCGGTTAGAAATTTTTCAAATTTCGGACCATATATTGGATTGTACATTTTTGAAGAACTATCAACACATGGACTTCAAACCTACACAGTCAATGATGCAAGGTACCATACAATCCTCAGAACCAATGATAAACACTAAGTAAATATGATAAACACTAAGGTTTTTCATGCAAGATGGTGACACTCCACATATTAGTAACCTGGCGAAATACTCTTGCCGGAACACTTCTGGGACAGAATCACTTCACTTCATTTTCCTTGTGAATGGCCTCCTCGTTCAAGGCACCCAACACCAGGCTGTTGTGGTTGTGGAAATACCTAAAGTCACATATATACCGTAAGAAGCCTCGCACATTTCCAGGTCCCAAGAATGCAATTATCCAGGAAGTGGCCAGCATACCAGGTTAGATTCACGTTATGCATTCTAGATGATAGAAGAGAACATTTTTGAACAGTTGCTGAGATTCATGATACATTAGGTCACAGTGGCGTCCCAAGTGTCAACAGGTGATAACTGCAGCAGTTGCATCCACATGATATCCTTAACATCCTTCTGTAGTTTCAACTTCTTATGTCATATTGTTTGTGTGAAATATGACGCGCTCAACCGCGAAGCTTTTCTCTCGTCACCAAAAGGTATGCACGTTGGAAGTTCAACAAAATTAACGTATTACTAACAGATAAAACATTCAAGAAATATGTAAGTACATGAACTACAAAATTCTTTGAAACAAAGACGAAAGAACGAACCCTTTACTAACATATTTGTTGTTGTTGTTACAATCGGTTCTGACGCTAAGTATGGATTAGTTTAAAAACGTAAGGATTTGTACCAGTACACAACTAACCCCTTTGGCTTTCATCAGATGTAAATCAAGAATTTGTATCGAAACTGCCAATTCTTTCGGCTTAAATCAGGGGTCAAACTTAGATTTATACTAGTACAGTTTTACACCAAGAGTACACAGGGTTGAGTACGTTATATTAAAACGATTTTGATTATGCAGATCATCAAGTCTCGTGACAACCAGCGCAGACAGCCATCGAGTAGCTTTGCACAAAATTCCACAAAACAAATGAACTGGTGACAACCATAGCCTATATAAAGTCGCGATAAAATGACATCTATCAGAACTAAATTTTTACATTATTTAGAGTTTCTTGGGTAGTGTGATACTACAACAATTTATTGTTTTTAGGAAGAGGAATGGTATGTAACAGCCCTTTCCTGTTCTTTTAGTTATCCGGTTTAAGTGTTCGAAGTATTTTAGGTTATTTGTGGTGAGTAAAGGACTATCCATCAAAATCAAATAAACATTAATATTGGTAATTTTTATAATTTTTCTATTCCATATCAGCGTTAATCAAAATAATGAGCGCAAATTTTTCTCTGAACCACTGTATTAAGAAAGAATTGTGATATATTATATCGTCAAACAGAGCATGACCGGACGTGGCGACATGGACTGTAACGACGTGGTGAGTCTCAAAGTTTGTTTTAATATAACGTCCCCAACTTTTATAAAACATTGCACAGGTAAAATTTGATAAATAAATAAATAAACCGTTGATAACTGAATCAATGCATTTTTTAAAAACTTCTGATTTCTTATCCTAAAATGTACACACACACACACACACAAAAGTAAACATCGCCTCAGTTGCTGTCAGTTGGTTCCATCCCAAAAGATTAGAAAATACACACCTGCTTCTTCTACTGTGAATTGGAATTGTTCATTTGGATCTTCGATGAGTGTTGCATGGGCCAGTGGGATTTTCCCGACACCCTGTGATTATATGTATATATATGTATATTAAATCAGTTTAAGCCATGATATAGATTAATATAGATTTTTAGATATAGATTAACATAGATTTTTAGATATAGTTTAATATAGATTTTTAGATATGGATTGATATATAAGTTTTTTTCTTACACGATACACAGTAGAAACTGAATGACTGGATAAAAAATAACTCGCACAAAATTTTTTCTTCCTTCTATTCGTTTTGATATGAGGGTTATCAGAAAATAAAAAAATATATATTTTTATATTTTGTGTAAAATAGCTTCCAACCAACCACATGGCTTTATGCGATGTTCACGGTAGTAACTACAAAGAAATACCGTTAATGTTGGGCCACAGAACATTTAGTGATTTAATATCCGTTATGACTTTAGTTGTTTTTTTTTGACATCAGAGTATAAAAGTTTATGTCAATGTCAAAACCATTTCTTGCAAGATAAACTGCAGCACACACGTGCACTTACAAGTGTTTTGGATATCTGGTATAGATATGTCTTGACTAGAGTGAATATTATAAATATATATATATATATATTCTAGGTCCGAGGGCACTTCTTGAGGTACCTACGTACATAGTTTATTACAATCTGCACTTTATTAAGAAATTATAAACTTTAACCCTTAAGTGGTTCACATAAAATGTCACATGCGAGTGGTAAAGTAAAACAAATATCAACAATAGCATTTTATAGTTTTTTCGTTCCGTATCAGAGTTAATGAAAACATGGATTGCAACATTTTCTCTGAACCATGATATTAAGAGACGTTCTTATGACAATATATTAACACTTCTATTATGGTACTGTTATGACAATTTACCAACACTTCTGAATCACTATTATGGTACTGTTATGACAATTTACCAACACTTCTTAGACACTGTATTAAGGTAGTGTTTTAATAATTTATTAAAACTTCTGAACCATGATCTTAAGAGACGTTCTTATGACAATTTATTAACACTTCTGAACCACTATTATAGTACTGTTATGACAATTTACCAACACTTCTATTATGGTACTGTTATGACAATTTACAAACACTTCTGAATCACTATTATGGTACTGTTATGACAATTTACCAACACTTCTCAGACACTGTATTAAGGTAGTGTTATGACAATTTACCAACACTTCTGAATCACTATTATGGCACTGTTATGACAATTTACCAACACTTCTGAACCACTATTATGGTATTGTTATGACAATTTACCAACACTTCTGAACCACTATTATGGTACTGTTATGATAACTTACCACCTCTTCTGAGACACTGTATTAAAGTAGTGTTTTAATAATTTATTAACACTTCTGAACCACTATTAACCTGGTGTTATGACAATTTACCACCTCTTCTGAACCACTGTATTAAGGTAATGTTTTAATAATTTATTAAAACTTCTGAATCACTATTATGGTACTGTTATGACAATTTACCAACACTTCTGAGACACTGTATTAAGGTAGGGTTATGACAATTTATCAATAATCGTGATGGAGAACATTTCTAACAAATAGCACAAGCAAGATATATAGATGTATTACTTGTTCGTTTTGTACGCGATTTTCACTAAACAGTAACACTAAGCTAGTACAATGGTTGAAAGACAGATTTTTAGTCGTTATTGTTACTATCGTGTGGCTGAAACACATAATGAAAGAACTGTGAAGACTGTCATTTGTTATACAACGTTTGAGAAATTATTAAACTACTATAAGGGCAAAATCAATGTATCGTAAGGACTAAAACAATTAAAACATAGATGAAAAATATAAAATGAAAACATTCATGGTTTCAAAATACCTTAACTACATTCAAACCTAAAAGAATTAGTATTTTAAAACTAAACAAATTCAGGATGGATTAACCCTTTTTATATAGATTATTTTACTTCATAAAATAAATTATTAAACTTGTTAATGGTAGAGCTTTTACGATAAAGATGATAAGACATGATTAAAATGCAACAACTCAGTCCATCAAGTTTTACAGTTTATATTTCTGATTTATTAGAAGTACTAAAGCCATGTACGTACTTCAACCAAATGTAGTTTTCCACCTGAAGTTCGAGTGCATAAGAGAATATGATTGGTAAACAAAAAACACTGTCGCACGGCTTCTCTTGTACGAGGGCGCTGTAGTCTTGACTTGTCTCCTCCTATTACTTGAATCATACTTCCTATACAAGCATGTAAAACATCGAATTTTTTCTTGTTACATGATACGATACAGATAATGGAAAGAAGCGTGAATGAACTACGAGCAAAAAACTTAATTTGATTTAAATGTACTGAAAATTTATATAAACCACACCTGCATATGATTAATCACCAATATATATTTTAAGCTACTCGGAGTCTATCTACATTATTTTTCTCTAATTTTGAACTGATAGACTAGAGGGAAGTCAGCTAGTCAACAACACCTACTGCCAACTTTTGGATGAGTCTAATCGAATAGTGGGATTTGACCACTGGCCTTATAACGCACCCACGACTCCAAAGAGTTGTTGTTTTTTTTTTTGTTGTTGTTGTTTTGAATTTCGCGCAAAGCTACACGAGGGCTATCTGCGCTAGCCGTCCCTAA